TAACAGTGTAAAGTAGTGAGTGTACAGCTTGTATAACAGTGTAAAGTAGTGAGCGTACAGCTTGTATAAGTGTAATAACAGTGTAAAGTAGTGAACGTACAGCTTGTATAAGTGTAATAACAGTGTAAAGTAGTGAGCGTGCAGCTTGTATAAGTGTAATAACAGTGTAAAGTAGTGAGCGTACAGCTTGTATAAGTGTAATAACAGTGTAAAGTAGTGAGCGTACAGCTTGTATAACAGTGTAAAGTAGTGAGTGTACAGCTTGTATAACAGTGTAAAGTAGTGAGCGTGCAGCTTGTATAAGTATAATAACAGTGTAAAGTAGTGAGCGTGCAGCTTGTATAACAGTGTAAAGTAGTGAGTGTGCAGCTTGTATAAGTGTAATAACAGTGTAAAGTAGTGAGTGTACAGCTTGTATAACTACACTTTACCCTAGTGTAAAGTAGTGAGCGTACAGCTTGTAAAAGTGTAATAACAGTGTAAAGTAGTGAGCTTCCAGCTTGTATAACAGTGTAAAGTAGTGAGCGTACAGCTTGTATAAGTGTAATAACAGTGTAAAGTAGTGAGCGTGCAGCTTGTATAACAGTGTAAAGTAGTGAGCGTACAGCTTGTATAAGTGTAATAACAGTGTAAAGTAGTGAGCGTACAGCTTGTATAACAGTGTAAAGTAGTGAGTGTACAGCTTGTATAACAGTGTAAAGTAGTGAGCGTACAGCTTGTATAAGTGTAATAACAGTGTAAAGTAGTGAACGTACAGCTTGTATAAGTGTAATAACAGTGTAAAGTAGTGAGCGTGCAGCTTGTATAACAGTGTAAAGTAGTGAGCGTGCAGCTTGTATAAGTGTAATAACAGTGTAAAGTAGTGAGTATACAGCTTGTATAACAGTGTAAATTAGTGAGCGTACAGCTTGTATAACAGTGTAAAGTAGTGAGCGTACAGCTTGTATAAGTGTAATAACAGTGTAAAGTAGTGAGCGTACAGCTTGTATAACAGTGTAAAGTAGTGAGCGTACAGCTTGTATAACAGTGTAAAGTAGTGAGCGTGCAGCTTGTATAAGTATAATAACAGTGTAAAGTAGTGAGCGTGCAGCTTGTATAACAGTGTAAAGTAGTGAGTGTGCAGCTTGTATAAGTGTAATAACAGTGTAAAGTAGTGAGTGTACAGCTTGTATAACTACACTTTACCCTAGTGTAAAGTAGTGAGCGTACAGCTTGTATAAGTGTAATAACAGTGTAAAGTAGTGAGCGTGCAGCTTGTATAACAGTGTAAAGTAGTGAGCGTACAGCTTGTATAACAGTGTAAAGTAGTGAGCGTACAGCTTGTAAAAGTGTAATAACAGTGTAAAGTAGTGAGCTTCCAGCTTGTATAAGTGTAATAACAGTGTAAAGTAGTGAGCTTCTAGCTTGTATAACAGTTTAAAGTAGTGAGCGTACAGCTTGTATAACAGTGTAAAGTAGTGAGTGTACAGCTTGTATAACAGTGTAAAGTAGTGAGCGTACAGCTTGTATAAGTGTAATAACAGTGTAAAGTAGTGAGCGTACAGCTTGTATAAGTGTAATAACAGCGTAAAGTAGTGAGCTTCCAGCTTGTATAACAGTGTAAAGTAGTGAGCGTACAGCTTGTATAAGTGTAATAACAGTGTAAAGTAGTGAGCGTACAGCTTGTATAACAGTGTAAAGTAGTGAGTGTACAGCTTGTATAACAGTGTAAAGTAGTGAGCGTACAGCTTGTATAACAGTGTAAAGTAGTGAGTGTACAGCTTGTATAAGTGTAATAACAGTGTAAAGTAGTGAGCGTGCAGCTTGTATAACAGTGTAAATTTGCTGTCCCCCCAAATAACACATCACACAGCCGTTAATGTCTAAACCACTGGTAACAAAAGTGAGTACAACCCTAAGTGAAAATTTACCAGGTCGTCGCCGTAGTCCGCCCAACACAGACCTCGGTGTCCAGTCTATTTCTCTGGTAAACTTTTAATTATTAATGTACACGTAAACTAATGCGTGCAGAGTTCAGTGAATTCATGTCACATGTTGAGAATCTGTGAGACTATAAGGAAACATAATAATAATATTTCATCTTTGAAACATCAGGCTGATGAAACCAGCTGAAGTTCACGGGGGGGGGGGGGGCGGACCTCTCCTCTAAACCATCCTGACACGAGCAGGATGATCTGTCGTTCCTCTATGAGCTCGTTTACTCTGGTCATTATCTTAACGAGCTGCTTAGCATTAGCTGCTTACAGCGCTAATGCTCCTGTCTGTTAGCTGAACATGTTGGCTAACAGTGTGTGTCTAGCCTAGCCACATGCTAACACACACCCGGCTAGCTGTGTGCAGACTGACGCCAGGCTAACACACACACAACCACACACACACACACACACACACACACACACAGACACTGCAGCACATTTGTCTATTCAGAGGACAAAGGCTGTTAATGCGTGCAGAGGATCAGGGCAGATACTCACTGAGCATCCTGAGGAGGAGGAGGAGGAGGAGGAGAGGGGGCTTATGCATCCATTTCTCCTTCAGTAGCAAACAGGAGGAGGAGGAGGAGAGAGGAAGAAAGATGGAGAACCTGCTGATCCTGACGCTGTTTGGTCTGTCTGTCTGTTAGCTTGCTGATGCTACACCAGCAGCCACAGCTCTCTCTCTCTCTCTGTGGGTCTCTATGTGACTCGCCCACCCTCTCTGTCAGCAGTGGCCCCTCCCCTGCAGTGAGGCTGCCCTAATTCCTCTCCTCGCCTCCTCTCCTCGCCTCCTCTCCTCCTCTGTCAGTCATCATGAGTGTTAGTCATGGTGAACCTTCGCCGCCGTCTTCACCAGCAGATTTAACCTCAGTGAGACCGACGCCCACCTGTCAACAACCATCCAGTAATCCAATCACAGCCCTCCTCACACTGAATGACTCCAGCCTCGGGGTTTATCTGATACTGGGAGGACGGTGTACTTCACTAGTTCCTGTCCTCTGCAGACATGTTGGACTGGTTTACAAGTCCTGCATCACATTAGACTTGTTTACCAGACCTCCTCCAGCTCCTCCTGGAGGATCCTGGGGTCTCCCCAGGCCTGATGGGAAATTTCAAAGTCCATTTAGGCAAGTCCCGCCACTCTGCAGCCATCTGGTTCACAGAGCAGGTATCTGGGACTAACAGGATCAGGTCTCTCTCTGAATGAATGAGCTGCACCTTCATTGGTCACCGGGACATAAAACCAGCAGGACCAATGGGCAGCGTGAGGATCTGAGCAACTCTGACAAGATCCAAACTGTGATGGCTCGAGAACTGGGTCAGAATCTCTCCAAACCGGTCTGCAGGGGTCAGAACCTCTCAGAAGGGGTCCAAGGAAGTCAAATCTGTGAACCGGGACAGGGTCATGGGGGGCGAAGGCCGGCCCGTGTGGTCCAATCCAGCAGACGAGCTGCTGAAGGTGAAAGTGCTGAAGAAGCTGATGCTGGTTCTGATAGAAAGGGGTCAGAACACACAGCGGTCCAGGCCTGTATTTGCGGCCATAACATTACGACCAGCGAGTGGTGAAGGAGCAGCGGTTCTCCTCTGGTGTCAGACCTCCTTGTCTCTGAGGCTGAGCCCTGCAGGGGAAACTCATTTCAGCTGCTTGGATCCAACAGCTCATTCTTTGTCTCAGTGCCCAGAGACCAGGACCACAGCTGAGGACCTGATCCACTGGTGGATCCAGAACTTCACCTTCAAGGTCAGTCCACATCACTGCTGACCCCCACTGGTGAACGAGACCCTGAGAAAGGTCAGGGTCAGGGACCTCTATCACGACATCAAAAGAGTAAATAAATGTATTCAGATTAGGGTCGGGTGATGTCTACAATGAAACACCGGGATGGACGATGACGTTAAGAAGCTACGTAATTTACAGGCTGGTATGCGGCGCTCCTGCTGCCGTGAAAAAGGATCACACCCGGAAAAATCCAGCAAAAAGTCGAGTTCTGTGTCTTTAGAAATAAAACAAATAACGTCCGTGGGGATTAAAACCTGCTTTCACAGGCGGTATAATGTAAAAAATTAAGATGGTATTTTTTGTGTTGGGGCTTTGGGGGTCACCCCCCCCCAAAAAAATGTTTGTTTTCCTGTAAAGAAAAAAGCCATTCCACATAATGTTGGAACACTGTTATCACATCTGTGAATAATAAGCAGGGAAATCCTGAGCAGATTTTGGTTGCCCCACAGCTGAAGAATAGATCTGTGTTACAATCTGAAAGAGACTCGTGCCGAGCTGAATGCTGGTCTTTGTAACACAGCGAATTACATTTGGACTATGAAGAAAAACTACAACCCAAAACACAAACTTCATTGAATTTAAGACTTTTTAAGAGCCCGCAGAAACCCTGAACGTGGACTCCTTCAGGAGGTGAAAACAATTCTTAATCTTTATATTATGAATTTTGAATCAAAGAAGCAACAAAGGATTTGAACATGAACCCAGACCTGGTACAGGATGCAGCGAGGAGGAGAGCTTAAGTCCCTCAGCTCCAGGTAAGTCCTCTGCAGAGACTACAACTAGACCAGATACTCAGATCTGATCTCAGGACACAGTTGGAGCGTAACCCCAGTGACACAGAGTCTCATGAAGGCCACCCCTCATAGGTCTCTGCTGGGGCCCGTTAGTTCAGGACTCTCATCCTCCCAACAAGTCCAGAACCCCTGATGGGGAGTGGAGCAGTGGCTTAGTCCTGCTCCCCCACAAGAGGTGACTCTCAACAATCAAAAGCCTCTACCTGCACCTGCTGCCCCCATGACACACCAGACCACTAGAACCCTACACCTCGATCTGCATCCAGTTCCAGAGGGTCAGTCCGTTCCAAGAGGGACAGCCGGGTACCTGTGTTGAAAGACGTGGGTCCTTTTTGGATTGGTCCAGAACTAAAAACAGAATCTCTGTCAGTGAGCAGCTGGATGATAGGACCCGAGCTTACCCCAGAGACCTGGATCCAGGAGGGACCATTCAGTCTGGATCTGAGTTACCTGGTGTCAGCAGTGTTGATCAGGTCGGCCTTAACGCTGCTCGGTCGAGACAGTTTTGGCTGAGATCGGGTACGACGGAGAGACTGTTTCAGCCTCCGGGACAGAAACCCCTGAAGAGGAGGAGCAGGAGAGGAGGAGGAGGAGAAGAGGGGAGAGAGGAGAGAAGAGAGGGGAGACAGGAGGAGGAGAAGAGAAGGAGGAGAGAAGAGAGGGGAGAGAGGAGAGAAGAGAGGGGAGGAGGAGGAGCAGGAGGAGGAGAGGGGAGAGAGGAGAGAAGAGAGGGGAGCAGGGGAGAGAGGAGAGAAGAGAGAGGAGACAGGAGGAGGAGAGGAGAAGGAGGAGAGAAGAGAGGGAGGAGGAGGAGGAGCAGGAGGAGGAGAGGGGAGAGAGGAGAGAAGAGAGGGGAGGAGGAGGGGAGAGCAGGAGGAGGAGAGAAGAGAGGGGAGGAGGAGCAGGAGGAGGAGAGGGGAGAGAGGAGAGAAGAGAGGGGAGGAGGAGGAGAGCAGGAGGAGGAGAGAGAAGGAGAGTGCTTCAGTGTCCAGCAAACCTCTGTAACAGTTTGTGTTTCTAACATTGAAATGCTTGTGCTGAACACTGATTGGCTGATGAATGCCATCATTGACTAATCATAGCGTTGGATCGGATAGAGAGCCTGAGTCACTTGCTTCCACTTTCGGCCCATGGGATCTTATTTCAGTAATAATATGTACGGTAGTCAACGGCGAGAGAAAACTTGTATGAGCTGAGCGCTGAATCACACACATGATGTTTGTCACTTTAAAATAATTTTCTTTCATCAAGAAAGTTGTAGTTTGTCGTAAAACAGTAAAGTTACATGTGGTTTTGTGTGAAACCCGTTCAATGAGCTACATCTCTTGTCTCACACAATATAAGTCCCATGGTGGTCCACCAGAAGGGGCGGGGCTTAGGCTCTCTATTACATTTACATTACATTTAGTTGATGCTTTTATCCAAAGCGACTTACAATTGCTGTACATGTCAGAGGTCGCACGCCTCTGGTGCAACTAGGGGTTAAGTGTCTTGCTCAGGGACACAATGGTGGATGGTCACAGAGGAGACCACACCACACCAAAGGCAAGCATCTTATCTATGCGCCATCACCACCTATTGGATGCTACATCAAAACACCGTGTCATCACGCAGGTTACAGATGTCGGACTCCTTTGCTTCAGACTAGAGAGAAAACGCCTAATCTCCAATCAGAAAGTTCAGAGGCGGATCAAAGATGAAGGTGAAATCTGATTGGTTTAGATGCGGTGGCTCCGTCTGTTCATGCTGTCACTCAGTGATCACTTGTGTTTGAGCTGTTCTGTTGTTGATGGTTTGATCACATGTTAAATATCATCTGTCAGTACACAAAACTCATCTTTAAAGGGTCTGTCAGCGGAGCGCATCAGTACATGCTAACTGCATCAATGTTTTGTGGCAAGGACAATTATCCTCCTCCCCCTGCCTCTCCACAGGGGGCCCCAAGGCTCAGTGCTTGGGCCCCTTCTCTTCTCAATTTACACCACCTCACTGGGGCTGATCATTCGCTCGCACGGCTTCTCTTACCACTGCTACACAGACGACACGCAACTCTACTTATCCTTCCCGCCAGGCGATCCCACTGTTTCGGCGTGGATCACGGACTGTCTATCAGACATATCTGCATGGATGAAGTCTCGCCACCTTCAACTAAACCTGAACTCTTGGTCAAGCAATCTATCCACCATAACATCACACTACAAATTGACTCCGCAACCATCACTCCAACCAGGGTGGAGAAACTTGGCTGTCCTTTTCAGACCATGTTGCTGCTGTCTCTCGGTCGTGCCGCTTTGCTCTGTACAACATAAGGAAAATCAGGCCCTACCTCACTCAGTACGCCACCCAGCTTCTGGTACAGGCCATGGTTATCTCTCGCATCGACTATTGTAATGCCTTCTTTGCAGGTCTTCCAGCTTGTGCGGTGAAACCCTTACAAATGGTTCAGAACGCAGCAGCGCGTCTGGTTTTTGATCAGCCCAAAAGGACTCATGTCCCTCCATTACTCAGTGACCTCCACTGGCTCCCCGTGGCCTCCAGAATCAAATTCAAGTCCCTAATGCTGCATACAGAGTGACTACTGGGTCTGCACCATCTACGAAAACTCCATAATACAAACTTACGTTCCTTCTCGGCCGCTACGCTCCTCCAACGAACGCCGCCTGCTCGCCATCCCTTCACACAAAGCAATCCCAGTCCTGTTCTCATCTGTGACACCATGATGGTGGATCGAGCTACCACACGCCATCAGGCAGGAGCGTCCCTCTCTAACTTCAAGAAGCTCTTGATAATCATCTCTTCCGAGAACCCTTCCTCTGATAACACCTCTAACTCCTAACATGCACTTCCTGTGCTCTTCTTCTTCTATCCCTACAATGATCTTGTTTGATTGCACTTTTTGTTAACTCTTACTTCTTCCTCGGTATTTACCCCATTGATGTGATTGAACTATGAGCTCTTATGTGTTGTCAGTTGTAGATCCGTAGTTGATGCTCTGTTGATGCTTCTATGTTGTTCCTCAATGTAAGTCGCTTTGGATAAA